ATAGGCAAAATGAACAATTCATCAGAGGGTCCCCACAGTACGTTGGGTCTGGCCGAGGAAAGAATCAGGGCACATGAAGATATCGAGAGAGGTTATGCAATCTGAAACACAGAGAAGAAAGAATGAACACGTACAAGAAAGAATGATGACAAAAGAAGAGAGAATCTGATAAGTGTATAGAGCACCCGTATGCGAGATAGTCACGGCAGCACCAGGATGAGCAGAGAAAGAAAGAGGCAGAAAAAACAGGGGAAGAAATGACTTAAAGCTTTCCAGATTTGATCAAAAGCATTAACCCATACACCCAGAAAGTTCCATAAACACCCAGTAAGATAAATGGAACCAAGTCTGCATCCACCCACCTCAGAGTAAAAAACACAAAGACATAAACTCTTGAAATCATGGGCAAGGGAACTCATGTAATGTTAAGAGTTGGCTTCTAATCAGAAAAAAGCTGGGGGACAGAAGATAATGGGGCAACGTAGTCAAAGTGTTGAATAAAAACTGCCAACCAAGAATCTTCTGTTCAGCAGAACTACTTTCAAAAATGAAGGTGAAATAAAGACATTCTGAGATAAACAGAAACATGAAAATTCATTGCTAGCCAACCTGCCTTACAGGAGATACGGAAGGAAGACTGTCGGGTTGAAAACCAGTGATACAGACAGAAATTCAAATTCACACAAAAAGACAGAAAGTACCAACAAAGCTGATCATACATGGGTAATTATAAAAGATAGTGTGATTGCACATGTCTTCTCCTTTCTTCTCTTGTCTGAGTTAAAAAGCGATTGCATAAAACAGTATGTATATGATTGTATTATTGGGCCTATAATGTATAGAAATGTAATGTATTTAACAATAACAGCACAAAGGAGAAGGTGAAGTAATGGCACCCAGTGGTGGCTTGGACTCACAAAAAAAAAATGAAGAGGACCAGAAAAAAAAAGTACATAAGCAGGAAACACAGTAAACTCCAGAAATAGACTTGCTCTCCCTTCCTCTTTCAACTTCTTTAAAAGACATATAGTTCTATAAAGTAGTAACTATAAAAAATGTATTCTTGAGTTTGTAACAGTACAGATATACAGACATAGCATGTATAATAGTAGCACAGAAAGGGGCAGAGGCCATGGAACTGTATGGGAATAAAGTTTCTATATATCAGTGAGGTTTAGTATAAGCCTTTTCTTTAAAGATTGATTTGGTTATGTGTGTGTCTGTGTGTGTGAGAGAGAGAGAGAGAGAGAGAGATTGAGGGAGTATGTGTGCATGAGCTGGGGTCGGGGGCAGAGGAAAGAATCTCAAGCAGACTCCCTGTTGAGCACAGAGCCTGATGTGGGGCTCGATCCCAGGACCTGAGATCATGACCTAAGCTGAAATCAAGAGTTGGAGGCTAAACCAACTGAGCCACCCAGTCGCCCCCAGAATAAATCTTAAGTAAATGTTGGTACTAGAGCAACCACTAACAAAAGTAACTGAAAAAAATACAGTAGAAGCAAAACCAAGCAAATTAAAATGGTACACTAGAAAATTTTCAATTAAAAAAGAAGAAAGTGGTGGTAAAAAGAGGACTAAAGATGTGAGACCTATAAAAGACAAACATCCAAAGGACAGATGTAAATTCTACCTTTGCTGTAATTACATTAAATGTGAATGGATTAAACAATCCATTCAAAAGGCACAGATCAGCAGAACAAAACTGATAGGTACCCAGCTACATGCTATCTGTAAGAGATACATTTTAGATTCAAAGATACAAACATGTTGAAAGTAAAAGAATGGAAATGATACACCATGTCAACAGTAACCAAAAGAAAACCCTAGTGGTTGAGTAGTATCAGACAAAATAATCTTGAAGACAAAATTGTTACCAGAGACAAAGAGGAACACACTAATATTAATGAAAGGCTCAATCCGTCTAGATGACATAGCTATTATAAACATATATCCACCCAAGGACAGAACACCAAAATTAAACGGACTGAACTGGAGTGAGAAATAGATAATTCAACAATAGTAGTTGGAGACTTCAATACATTAGCGGACGGCAGAAGATCAAAAACCTAGGTAGCTTCCATTACACTGTAAATCAGTCAGACCCCACAGACACGTAAGGAGCACTCCGCACTCCGCACGTTCATAGAAAAACATGCTCTTTTCAAGTGCATATGGAACATTCTTCCAGCACAGACCATAAAACAGGACGCAATAAATTTTAAAGGATAGAAATTATACAAAGCATGTTCCTGGGACACAGTGGAAGAAAATTAAAAAATCAATAACAGAATGACATTTGGGAAATTCACAAATATGAGGAAATTACAAACACTCTCCTAAATAACCCATGTTCCAAATGGGTGAATTTTGTGGTATGTGAATTCCATCTCGATCAAGCTGTTTAATAAATGTGGCTCAAACCAAGCTCTCCCACCTGAGCTGGCACTTCTGAGATGATGAACGTCCCCAGGTCCCTCTGTTGGGATTCCGTAAACGTTTAGTGCCTACAAATCTCCCAAATGCATTAGGTTCAAAGATAGGACCTAGCAAGATGATAAAGTGAGGAATTCTGGAAGAAAGATGGGCCTTCCTGTATCTACCTGAGCACCCAGGGGGCAGACAGAAGCCAGGCATGGAAATTCTCAGCTGGAGGTGACTGTTAGAGCTTTCCAGGGGCCTGGACCCCCAGGTCCTAGCTGAAATTCTGCACGTACATAGAGAGAGTATCTACACCTCTCATAGGGTGTCTGATAGAGGCCTTGACCTAAAAACCAGTAGGAACCATGAGAGGCATCTGTGGGAACTTTAAAAGGAGCCCCTTCCTCCTGGCACAGGGCTTGAGCTCAGCCACAGTCCTAGAGCTAGGACAACTTGATTCTGTGCAGCAGGTCTGCAGGGAGGGATGGAACTAGGAGCCTGGCACTCAGATCTGTCTCTCAAGCCCCCTAGTCCCCCCACCCCCCATCAGTGCATATCCAGGAAAGACATAAAAGCTTCCGTAAGCTTTGGGTTTGTCCTCTTATTATAGGAGGATCACGACAATCTCCTTGCGGGATTTAGTGTGAATTCTATGCCCTGTCTCTGACCCCTGCCCTCCTCCCCCTTCCCTCCCTATGCCCATCACCTTCCCTCCTCCACTCTCGGCACCTGTGTGTTGCATGTAGGAATCCGTGCATATATGTACACGTGTGTATGCATGTGTGTCTATGCCCAGCTCATTTAACAATCCTCCATAAAAAGCAGCTGAATTTGCATCTCAATATACCCCATCAACCCATTTTGAGAATACTTTCACCAACAGAGAGTTCAGAATTCATGCATCTAACCCAGGCTGCTGACCCAGGGGTGCTGAGCTGGAGGGGACGGTGGAGGCCGGGGCTCAGATGACCTCATGCTCAGTCTAGTCGGCTGGCCAACGGAGAGAATCGGTCTACGTCACGGGGTGGCGTGAGCATGGGCTAAGTGTGCCTGGCCCATGGTAGGTGCTCCATAGTGCTTGGCCTCTGTTGGCCTGTCACAAGCTTGGCCTGCAGGGCTAACGCAGGAGGGCTGTGAGTCCCGTCTGTGGGGCCGGCGAGCTCTCAGCAGCCATGGCCCCTGGGAATTACGGACAGAGCCCAGGCAGGGGCCCTGCGAGCGCGTCTCTAATTGCTGCCGCAGACAGTATCTGCTGGGAGGCCGTCCTCTCCTTCCCAACATGTGGCTTTTGATGGAAGCAGCTAGAACAGCTCTAGAACAGCTGCTCTTTCCTTATCACAAAGCAGCAGCTCATTTTTGCCGCATTTCACTTGACAGCCCCTTGGTTTCAGACAGATGTACCTTTCCGAACCTCTGTGGTGCTGCTTGCTGTTTTCCCCATGCCCGAGGCTACTGGACAGACAGGGTGCCCGGCGTCCTTTGTAAACAGAAAGCCCGAAGCAAGCAGTCGCGGTGTCACACGACACCCGCCCTGTGCCCCGTCTCACCTGGACTTCATATACAGAGCACAATTTAAGAGAAGCCATTTTATTGAGCCTCGGGGCTTAATAAGGCCTGAATTCAGGTCCAAATGAAGGTGAGACTTATTTTAGATTAAATATTGATTTAGCGTATGAATGCCAAGAGGTAGGGCAGGCCTACGTGTCCAGCAAATGGCTTGGTGATTTTCCTCTCTCTCAAGACTTGGCATATGAGAAATAAAAGAGCTTAGGTTAGGGACTGATGGAGGACCACCTCCCTATGGCCGTCTAGCTGGTTTTGCTCGTAAATGCGAGGCACGGAGGCCGCACCCTCGGGGCAGAGGACATGCTCCGGGGGCTGGGAGTTGGGGGCGCTGAGCCCTTGTAGGAGCCTCCCACCACTGCCCCTGGATGACATCCTCCCCCGCCTGCTCGCTGATGGAGGCCTTGCCCCCGGGCGAGCTCAGGTCTGCACATGAACCCAGAAGGGACCCAGAAGGCCTCACATATAGGCAGGCCCGTGGGTCCTGGGCAGGGGACGTCCCCTTGGGGGCAAGATCTCCCTGGTCGATCTGCTCAGTGAGGACGGGGACAAGTCAGAGCTGCCCAGGGCCTCTAATAGTCCCAGAATGGCAGTGGCTAAGTCCCCCTTCGGCACAAGGAAGCAGGGCAGGTGGGCGGGGAAGGGCTGCCAGGGCTGGGGTCCCAGGTTTGGTGGGTTTTGCAGGCTCAGACCGCCCGCCCCTCCAGCTGGGGTCTACAGGCCAGGTTCTACGGTCACCACCAGAAAACACGCTTTATTTCCTGAAGCCACATGGAAAGTGAGCTCTGGGATCAGAAGCCCCTTGGTGAGGTATTGATCTGAGAGCCGGCCCAGCACCCGTGACCTCCAGGCCTGAAGGGGCTAAAGCATGGACTTTCCTCATCTATAAAAGGGAGTCACTTGCCACCTGTCCTGTTGGCTCCTGTGACTTTGAGACGCAGATGGGACCCAAGGGGAGGCGCCTCGGGAAGGCAGAGCGCTCATCACAGAGGCAGGGGACGGCGGCCGCAAGCACTGACCTCGGATTCCGAAGCGTCCACCGACTTCTCCTTAAGGTTGGCGCTCTCGGTCAGCACAGCTCCGTTGTACTTGTTGCAGATGTCCTCGTCTGAGTAGTGCAGACCGCCAGGGCTGGGCCGGGGCGGGGACCTAGGACAGGGACGGGACCACGAGGGACGGATGTGGGCTCAGGGCAGCTCTGGGCTGCAGACACCTTCCCCGGGGGCCTCCTGACCCGCCCTGTGGCCACCGTCATGTCGGTGAGAGGACATCCTTGCTGGCGATCAGTCCGCCGCAGTGCTGCGCGACGGTGTGTGAAGCAGGACTTCGCTAATCGCACGTGCGCAGCCGGCCCCCTAGAGGGCCAGCCGGGGCCGGGGGGCTCCTGAGCTCACTCCCCTCCTGTCTGAGATCTGCCTGCTTTTTGTAGTTCCAGAGGAGGTAGGATGCTTCTTGCCCCCTTCCCTTCCTGCCCCCTTCCCAACACTGCCCTGCTGGGGTTGGGTGGGTGGGTGCCCGTGGGCACGGCGGCATGTCTGCGGCTGGCCCCCCACCCTGGCTGGTTCAGGTCTTCGGGCAGATGGGGCACACTGAGGGGGTTGGTTAGAGCGACTGCATCCCTACCTGGTCCCGTTCTTCTTCGAGAAGGTGTTCTTGACATTGAGATGACGGCTGTTGAGCTCCAAGGCAGCAAACCCTCCGTTGTCCAGGGTCACGGTCTCCTCCATGTTGGAGATGCTCTTACCTGCAGCAGGAACGGGAGAATGGGTTCAGAGGTTCCAGGAAAGAGCCCAGCCCCAGCCGGTCAGCCTACGGGTGTTCACTGAGTTCCGGCCGGAAGCAGAGCCCAGACCCGGGCTTGGGCTCACAAGACAGTCGGAGGCACACTGGGGAGGAAGCCGCGTGTTAAGGATGATGCTGGGCATTTCCGTGTTTATTTTGCCCGACACCAAAGAACTGAACTGGTATTCTAACCAGTATCTGATAAAAGAGTTTCTAGAATGCATTATCTTTTTTAAAAAGCAGGGAAATTAAATATTGAACACATTTCAAAATAAAAAACTCACGACCACATAACAACAAAATCTCAGTAGAAAGTAGATTTACAAGGGACGACTGTGGAGGTAGTGGACAGGGCGTCTTTGGGGTGGTGAAATGTTCTAGAGTTGACTGTGGTGCTGACCGCACATATCTGTCGATATACTAAAAGCCACTCAAAAACAATAAATTTATAAATATGTATGGAAACATATTTTAAAACACGTCAGGAGATCAGATGAATAACAGTGTAGTTGTGAGAAACCAAAGGGGCTGAAAGGTTTCCAGTGGCTTTCCGTCCTCGGGGCCACCCCTGTACTGGGAACTGGGAGAATCTTCCAGACCTCCTCCTCTGCTCCCAGAGGCCCACAGAGCCCCCCCTGGAGTGCATTTTTGACATACTGGCTTGTTCCTTACTGTCTGCCTTCCATCTTCCCCAGCTGGACCACAGCTCTTGGACGTGGGGACCTCTCCCATTTATCTCCCACTGTCCTCCAGAAGGACTCCAGGTTCCCTAAAACCCCATGGCACCCTCTCTGCTGTGAACCCAGTGCGCCTGGACGGGCCCAGATGCTTGACGTGCTCGCAGCAGAGGAAGCTGACAGAACACAGGCGGAGGGAGGATGGAACTGCAGGCCAGTGGGATGTGGGCTGATGAGAGGGTGAGCAGGAGAAAACCGCTCTCAGAAAGGAAGTCCCATGAGGAGAGGGTTGTGAGGGGAGCAAGTGGGAGGGGGCTGGGCCGTAATTGCAAAGGTCTGGGTTCCGCATGGCTCCTGGCAGCAAGGCAGACGTTCCAGTAGACGAGTACGGTTTCTTTCTTTTTTTTTTTTTTCCCCAGGCTTCAATTATGATGTTAAATTAATACTCCAGGGTGAGGCTGAGTATCAGAAGCTGCAGGTCAGATCTGTCTTTTCAGGCTGGTTTTCCAGATGCAGAGGGAGAGTGAAAAGTGGGGAGATTTTCTATGCACCAGACGCAGGGTTCTGTAATAGCATTAACTCAGTAAAATGACATGCCATTCATACATAGTAAATCCCATAGGAATAAAGTCTGATTTACGAACACTTGTTAGAAGTGAATTTATACAGAAAAAAATAAATCCTTTCTTGGAGGAATGAATTGCTTAACGTTAGGAAAGCAAATGGCGAAGCACCTGGTTCTTTTAACCCTTCAGGAGCAGTGAGGTGTGGTGCAGGGGGGTGGGGGCTGGGGGGAGCCATTCAGCCCAGTGGCTTGCCCCCCTGGGGGCTCAGGCGCCCACTCGTTTGTGGGAGGACCCCATCAGGGATCCAACTTCCTAAGAAGCAAAGACAGATGGGTCCAGCCATGGGACCCGTCCTCCACTGCGGTGATGTCACAGAGCTGGTCCCATGCGTGGCCCAGCTACAGCTGTGTGTGTGGGGGCAGACACACCACCATCCAGAGCCCAGTCACAGTCCACTGGTGCAAAGAACAGGTCTTACAGGTGATTACGAGAGTTTTTTAAAAATTGAGGAGAGCAGAATGCACAGAGTGTACTAAACTTAAGCCTCCGGGGTGCTGGCATGTGTTATGTGTAGAACCACCATCCGCATAGAGAGTCAGAGCAGAACACTCTCAGAACCCTGAGGGGTTCCCTCACAGCCCTTCTCTATTGATACTTCTCTGCCAGGAGACAACCAGTGTTCTGTCTTCTAGAAACTTCAGCTCATTTGCGTTGTTCCTGACCTTCCCATAAATGGGTCCAGCTTTGCCATGTTCCAGCTTTGCTCCATATTCATTTGTCCATTTCTCTGATTCGGGGTGGCTCATGCAGCAACAAACACTTATTAAGCACCTACTGTATGCCAGCCATGGAGCTTATGCCGGGGAAGCAAAGGTGAGCCGGGCGTCAGAGGGCTTAGAGCTGGAATGTGGGATGTAAGGTGCGGTACATGCTCTGTTGGTCTACGGCTGCACCCCGTTGTGTGTTTCCACGCATGGGTCCGGGAGCCACACCAGCATTTCTGAGACACGCCTGGGCTCACTGTGCTCATGATACTGAGAGGTACGGTAAGTCACCTGTTTGATGCTCTGTGTGTCCTATTCAAAAATCCTGTTGCGTTTGGGCAATGGTGTGGGTGAGGGAACAGGCTCAGGGAGTTCCATCCACACACGAGATGGAGAATCCAAGACACAAGGCTCATTGTGGGGTGGAGCCAGGATGTGAACCTGGGCCTCAATGGTCGAGGGCGCTTGACTGCTGCCCAGAGCTGCCTCCCAGAGGAAATCCGAGGCCCGGCCTTGGTCACCCTCAGGCAGACAAAACGCAAAGCCCGGACCATGGATCCCGGATTGAAGCAGAGAAGATGCGGACATTTTGGCTCCTGAGTGCATGGGCCCTTCTAGAGGTGGGGTGGGGGGCGGGGCGGGGGTGGGGGACAAGGCAGACGCCCCACCTGTGCTGCAGCTCCTGTATCTCCGGTTCTGTCCATGCAAGACCAGGGCAAACACCAGCAGCAGGATGACGATCAGGCTGGAAAGTGCCATCACCAGCAGGAACCACCACTCCTGGTAGAACGGGGTTTCCACTTGAGCTGAGGGGCACAGGAGCACAAGGTCACATGGGATGGACACTGTTGCCACCTGTTCGCAGCCCGGGGCTGGGGAGGAAGGCAGTGGCAGGGAAGATGAACCCCGCCCCCTGCTGGGGTGGGCGGGGTGGGGGGGAGGGGGGCGGCCGATGGGCTGGTTTCCCAGACACAAGCTCCTTCTCTGTGGGAACCGGCTGGGGCCCCCTGGGCACCCTTGCTGCCCTGTCCCAGAGCTCGCCCTGTCTTTGCCATCCACACCATGCTTCACGCCATATCCCCTGATTTTATCTGCTTACGGATGTTGTCCCGGGGAAAGGGAGGAAGGACCAGCGTGCCTGGACGTCTCTGATCCTCAGTGCTGAGGCTTCCCTCCCCGATGGCCCCTGGGGCTCCTTACCCCCTCCACCACGGCCGCCACCCTATAGCCCCTTCTGGTGGCTTCCCCTCTTCCTGACATACCCCCCAACCGATCTGCCACACACTGTCACCAGGGAGATCTTACTCAATGGAAACAAACCGTCCCTTCCTAAAAGTCTTCAGTGTGGCCCACATGAGCCTTGGGGCTCAGTTCAAGCCCGTGAGCCCCATGAGCTGACTCCTGTTTGCTCCCGCCCGAGGCTGGATCCCGTCCACACCTGCATGAACACTTCTGATTGCGAGCCCTCCTTGCGGGCCTCTGCCACCATGGAACTCCCCAAGTCCTGCGCTGTGCTGTATTTCCTGCCTCCTGCAAAACTGAGCAGAACCACTGGCCCCCGTCGTGGGAAACATTTTTTGAGAAACAAATAGTTTCACTTAAAAGTTGCTTTGGAGGAGCAAAGGAAGGAGGAGCCTTCCTGCTCATGTTTTATTCTGTTTACTAAGAACAGAGACATGAGACTCACTGCTTGGGAGATGCCGGATGGCCCTGGGGTCCCGCTGGTGCCTTCCACAAGCCCCCTGTAGGGGAGCTGGCTGGGAGGCACCAGATCCGACGGAATAGGAAGCCCCGGTCCGCCTCCCAGCTGCTGAAGCCCCCAGAAGACACTTCTGCCTTATGTTAAATCTCTCACCGGTTGGGTAAAGACTGTGCACACTGGGGACAAGAGCGGGGAGCTGCCTTTGGGCAATGCAATGGCACAGGGCTTCCTGGGAGACGGCAGCATTTTGAATCCAAAATATATCAGTGGTTTTCAGGCTGCACAGTAATTGCTCTGTATAATGAGCCAACAAATTCCAAATGACCACCCAGGTGGGCGTGGAAAAGAAAGGCCTGGGTGCCCGCAGGACCCTACTCCTGGCCCCTGGGGCAGGACCCCACAGATCTGCGGTCAGGGCCGCTGCTCTGAAGGACGGAGGAAGCTTACCACTGTCCCGCTGGTGGCCGCGGCTGGCAAGGGCATGTAATGGGCTTCAGAGGACAGCCCGGCCGTGGGCTCCATGAACAGAAGGGCGAGGGGCTTGTGTTCTCCTGCAGGAAGGAGCCTTTGCCCCTGGCTGCATGTGTGCGCAGTGAAAGGCTTTGTGCATTTGGAATTGCTTTACGTGGGTGTTCCACACAGGAACCAAGAGGGGCAAACCTTGACTTGCTTGACTGGGGTGAGGGGTGCCCAGGGTGTCCTTATTCTAGTCTCTCTTCTGGAGGGCATGTTAAATTTTTCATAAGAAAGTGACGGAAATGAGAAGATTTTGATTTTTCTACGTCTTACTGCTACAGAAGCCCGTGGTGTGCTGGGGCTCCTCTTGGCAGACCCCGCCACGATCCGCGAGGACTCGTGGGCCCGAGCCTGCCCGCAGATGCTGTGCTCCCTCCAAGGTCATGGCAAAGAGGGACAGAAGGTATTTTCCGTTTAAACAAGAGCAGTCAGCATCTTGAACGAATCTAGAGGCTGGGGAAGAACAACGTGTTTCTCTTGGTCCCAGGAACACCCCATGTGGTTTCTGGCCTCGCCTGCCCCCTTGCCTGTGCCGCACCTGCTCCCTGCCTCCCCCTCAACTGCACGCCCAGCCTGTCCCCTGCCTGCGGTGGGTTGCCAGCTCCCTTTCTAATTGCCTCTGCGCTGCTCCCCGCTATCCCTCCAGCTGCCTGGCAGATCAACAGCGGAGCCCCGGGCGGCATCACCACTGGGTTGGATGGGGTCCCTGCAGGTACGTCCTCCAGGCAACCCCAGGAACGCCAGGGGCAGGCGGGGCAGAAGCTGGCCTCCCCTCCCCTCCTTGCCTGCTGTCTCACCACGAGGACTTTGTCTCTGCTGCTCCCTTCCCCTGTGGCCTCACCCCCATGCACCCTTCGCCAGCCAGACACATGCTGCCTCTTCTGAGAAGCCCTTCCTGATTTCTCCGCATCTGTGACACCCCTTGCCACAGGGCTGGCGAGGGTGGCTCGTCTGTCATCAGCACCCCATGAGCTCTGGGAAAGAAACCTTGCCTCTTCCACCCAGAGTGGAGCCTAGGGCTCTTTGTACAGGGTGGCGACTGGCCCGGGGTGCACATGGGCCCCTCAGCTGTCTCAGGGGAGGCCTGGATCAGACACACCTGGGTCGGGTGCTAAGACACCCCAGCCCTCCCAGTAGCTGCCCGGACTTTGCCCAAGGCTGCCCAGTAAGGAGCCTTCAGCTGACAGGAGGGGCTGGGGGCTGCCTTGCCCTGGATGGATGGACAGACGGCACAGTGCTTAGCTCAGGCTGACTGCTCTGACTCTGGCCTGGGTCTTTGATTAGGAAAAAATGAGACAGAAATTAAGACTTGCTTAAACGCAGCTTGGTGAAGACAGTCAGGGTCCCGGTGGCACCCGCTCCCTCAGTACCGTGTTCTCCAGGCTGGGCCCGTGCTGCTGGTGCCTGCACGGTGCCGGGCGCTGTCCTCTTTCTTTGTATCACGGCTCCCAGCCATCCCCTCCCGCTCCAATGGAAGAACTGCACCCGGAGCGTCCCCTGCTCAGACAGGGCTCCCTACCTGACACGGCCGTGGAGGGGCTGCTGGGCTCCCCATAGCCTGCCTGGTTCACGGCCACCACCCGGAACTCGTAGGTCACTCCCTGCCTGAGCTTGTCCAGGTTGACAGTGTAGGATGTGGCGCCTCGGGGGACGTCCTTCGCGAACACGTCCCAGAGGCCTTCATCTGCAGAGATGACACAAGGGGAGAGGTGAGGGGTGCGCTTCTCCTGCTTCTGATGCACTGCTGTGGGCTCCCTGCCGCCCTCACCAACGGAGCCCCCGTGACGTGAGAGCCAGAGGCGGGGTGCGCGGCCGGGGGCCGCGGGCAGGGAGGCGGCCAGCCCTCTCCTCGTGCACAGGCTCTGCTGTAGCTGCCGGCTGGGCGGTGGCGTGCTGCTGAACGTCCTCCTAGCCGTCGGATCCCATCGGATCCCATCAGACTCCAGGCCTCCCTCTGGTTTCTGACTTACGTCATCTTCCATTGAGGATTTCTGGCTCCCTTCTGGCTGGTCGTGGTCTCTCCCGGCCCCAGGATCCCGCTTCCCTGGCCCGCCTGCCCATCAGTCGCCTGCCATCCCGCACACCCCAGCCAGGGTTCGGGGTTCTTTGTAGCACCTGCCACCCCCATCCCACCAGAGGCCCACAGAGAAAACTACACAACAGTGTCTTTACCAGCCAGCTGTGAGCGCGGTGAGGCCATGAGCAGACATGTCACCGGCTCATTGGGAGGAAAGGCGCTCAGGACAACCGGCACAGAGATGCGGGGGGTCAGGGGCTGCCCTCGTTCACCCTCGGGACTCTGCCCTGCCCGCGCACACCAAACCCCCTGGGAGGTGCCCTCCACTTTGCTCATCCGTTGGACTGGCTGTAGCATCTGACCTGCCCGGACCCCAGCTCGCTTTTATCATCTCTGCCCGATGCTACCAAATATGCGTGCAAATGAGACAAACACATACTGAATTCTGAACACTTGCACACCCGTGTTCATGGCATTATTAACAATAGTCAAAAGGTGGCAGTAACCAAGCATCTGTCAACAGATGAGCAGATAAACCACGTGGTCCGTCTGCACCATGGAACAGCATTCAGCCTTAAAAAGGAAGGGAATGCTGGCACCGGCCCCAACACGGATGAACCTGGAGGACGTGATGCTCCGTAAAAGTAGCCAGACGCAGAAGGACGAACGCTGTGAGACCCCCATTTATAGGAGGCCCCCTAACGTGTCAAAATCACAGACACAGAGAGTGGACGGCGGGGCCAGGGGCTGGGGGAGGGGAGGGATTATGGGTTCATGGGGACAGAGTCTCAGTTTGGGAAGATGCAGAAGTTCCGGAGATGGACGGTGGTGATGTCTGCACATTAGAGTGCATGTTCTCAATGCCACTGAACCCCGCACTTACAAGGGGTCACAACGGTGAATTTTATCTTATGTATTTTTTGCCACAATAAACATACATATTGAATTTATCTAAACCCCGACACGTGGGAAAACATTCATAAAGTTGACATTAAAGCCAGAAAGTCGAGATGCAGGAAGACAGGAAGAAGCCGGTAGAACGGACTCTAGATTGGAGGCATCTCCCAGCAGGGCCAAGGGAACGTGATCAGCGGCGTTGGTCATCAAAACCTCATAGCACAGCACTGTGGCTGAAAGAGGACTAGAGTCTAGAGAGCGTGCGTGCCAAGCCTGGCCCTAACATGCCTCAGCTGTGTGACCTTAGGTGGAGCGCCGAACCTCTCTGGGCCTCAACTGCAGAATAGTGACAACAAAGGCATCTACATCGTAGATCAGTTTGGAGGGTTAAACAAGGTTCTATCTGTAAAGTGCTTCTAACAGTGCAATACATAGGGGAAACCGTGCACGGCCTGCGTATCTATAAACCCAATCTCGAAGGAGGTGCTTTGGTAAAAAGTGGGCTCCGAGCCCAAAATGTTCATTTGAAGTGCTGATCCTTTATGAATTATAATTTCTTTTACAGGCACAGGTATGTGATCTTTTTAAAAAGAGCAGAAGATCTGGAGAGGAGAGGTGCGCTTAAATATGTGTGCTCACGCATGGACAGCTTTCCGGGGAGCTGAGGGTAATCTGGCACCGACCTTACACGCACCTCGGAACACCAGATATGCTCAAGTGGATTAGCCCAACAGCACACAGAAAGAAAATTGCTAGTGTACAAGTCCGTATTTGCATAGGATTTAGAGTTTGCACCGATTAAGTCCTTACAGCCACAGGTTAATGAAGGAACAGATGTGAATGAGATTTTAAAGGTACAAATCTCTGTAGAGGCAGAAAGAGAGCACAATGATTATTTATTTCTAAACATTCATAGTTACACTCATTTCTCACCAAGGTACCCATTACCACTAATAATGTCAAAATGGCAAGCCATAGCTTCAAGTCTCCCCGCTCTGGCCCTAACGGACTGAGGTTTGCACATGGAATGATGGCTGTCTAAGATGTTCGTTCGGGGGCACCTGGGTGGCTCAGTGGGTTAAAGCCTCTGCCTTCGGCTCAGGTCATGATCCCAGGGTCCTGGGATCGAGCCCCACATCGGGCTCTCTGCTCTGCAGGGAGCCTGCTTCCACCTCTCTCTCTATCTGTCTGCCTCTCTGCCTACTTGTGATCTCTGTCAAATAAATAAATAAAATCTTAAAAAAAAAAAAAGATGTTCGTTCAGATGTTCTGCACAAGAATGATTGGGGAGTAACGGGGGCAGAGAGCACATTTTCTCTCCACAAGCCACTCCCTGTGCCTTGGGAGCCCCCAGGGCCCCGTCCTCCCCTCTGCTGCCTCCCATCCATGCGTGTGATCGTTCCATAGATACTGAAGTTCTCCCTCTTTGCCTTGTTCCACCCATCGGGGAATCAGGTGAGATTTCTGTTCAGATGAGCAATTTGTAAGTCCAAGGGCAGGGGGTGGAGGCAGCTAAACAAGGTCATTCCTCCCTTTCAGACTCTTCTTGACCTCACTCCCACCCTCCAGCAAGAGATGCTTCCTTCCACCAGTGGGCTTTCTGAGCACTCCGTGGCATTTACCTGTCCACATCATTGGGTCCTCGAGGTTTTCAAGAGTTCAATAAATACCTATTGATGTGATTACCTTCCCATCCTTCCATCTCCCCATCCATCCATCTCCCCATCCATCCATCTCCCCAACCATCCATCTCCCCATCCATCCATCTCCCCAT